TACATTGTCTCGTATCAAATGTTTTGGAATTCGAGCATATGTCTGGCATAAGTAGAAACAATCAACCGTCTTGTGCCGACCCATTGAAAAGAATGCTTTAATGTTATCTTGCTTCTCGCACGCGACATCATCAAATATAAATATTGAGTTAGGTCGTGCTTCACTAGGCGCCACAACATTTGCATGCTCATTATATGGAAAATATTCTACACCTTTTATTGGCTGTAAAACATTTTCTAAAAATTTATATTTTGGTTGATTTAAAGATTTTGAAAAAACATAAACATTTTTAAATCTTAATCCATTTGGATGTATTAAAAGTGCAAGTAAAGCATTTGTTTTTCCACAATTGGATGGCCCACAAAATATTGCTCGAACACTATTTGGCAATAAATTACCATGTCGCTGTTTTTTTTCACTTTTTTCTACTACTGTATCAAAATTTATGACAGGTAGTTTTACATGTTGTGTTTCAAACTCCATCTTTTTACAAACTAAAACAAATTCTATAAATACTTTGTTTATATAGGAAAATATGTTAGTTTACTTCCAATTCTTATAAGAATATGATTGTGCACACAGATAAAAAACGAGCCAGTTGCAAAAGAACTTTGAAAGGGATAAGACGTGGTAAAGGATTTCTTAATAAAGTTATAAACAATTTACCAGTTGAATTACACATTCCTGGGTATCAGTATTGTGGTCCAGGAACAAACTTAGAAAAACGTCTAGCCCGTGGTGACCAAGGAATCAATCCTTTGGACACAGCGTGTAAAGAACACGATATTAGTTATTCTAAAAATAGTGAAAATATTGAAGCTCGAAACGCTGCTGATAAAGTACTTGCAGAAAAAGCTTGGAATCGCGTTTTTGCACCAGATTCTGGAATTGGTGAAAAACTTGCAGCTTACGCAATAACAAATACAATGAAAGTGAAATCTAAATTAGGCATGGGTTTAAAAGAAAAAAAGAAAAGTATAAGACCATTAACTACATTAAGAAATATTGTATCAGCAGCTAAAAAAACCATGAAATCAAAAGATAATAATGTGAATGCTGTTATTAAATCGGCTTTGCTTGGAGCACGCGTAGCTGTAAAAAGAGCTGGTGGAAAAGGAAAAGTAAAACAGCCACGTATTTTACCAGTTACACCTAAAGTAGGAGGTGTTTTACCTTTGCTTATTCCCATTTTTGCGGGTTTAAGTGCGACAGGTGCACTTGCAGGAGGAGTTGCTGGTGTTGCAAAAGCTGTGAATGATGCAAATGCTGCAAAACAACAACTTGAAGAAAAAAAACGTCATAATGAAGTAATGGAAGCTATTACATTAGGTAAAGGACTTTATTTAAAACCTCACAAGGAAGGATTAGGGCTTCATTTAAAACCAAACAAGAAGGGACGAGGACTAAAGAAAAAAAAAGCTCAGAAAGATCTAAAGTGAAGCTACCACATCGTGCATTAACCAATGTTGATTTACTTAAATTAACAAAACGATTAAAAATTCTGAATTTTCGAGGAGTTTTTATGCGTAATGAACTGCCATTAACTGGTCCTAAAAAATGTGAATCAGGAATAATAAATTTGGATGACAAGGATGGTCCTGGAACTCATTGGTGTGCTTATAAAAAAACTGAAAATAACGTTATTTATTTTGACAGTTTTGGTAATCTTCGTCCACCTTTAGATTTAAGACAATATTTTGGTGTTGATTACATAATGTATAATCATAAAAAATATCAAAACTATGACACATTTATCTGTGGACATTTATGTCTTAAATTTTTATCTAATCAATTAAATACTCGGGACATGTTTTTACTCCATATAAAAACGTAGAAATTTATTTTATATGGTCAGTTATTAATGTAAATTGATCATGAACGAATCAATTATAGTAACTTTGACAGGAAACTCTTCTGTGTTGGAATCACAATTTTTTCCACCGATTGAATTGTCGCCTATTAAAAATTATGTTCTTGGTCTGGTTGAATTTTTAACTTATAATTCAATTCCTAATATTGATATTGGTAAAAATAAATTTTACGCAGGTGGAATTGAAGTTACTATACCAACAGGAAGTTATGAAATAAGTGATATTGATAAAACTTTGAGTTTTATGCTAAAAGATAAAGGCATTAATTTTAAAATTAAACCTAACAATAATACCTTAAAAAGTATAATTTACTGTGACAAAGAAATTAATTTCATACCTAACGACTCTATTGGCAGCTTGTTGGGATTTTCTTCACGAAAATTAAATGCTCAAGAATACCATGAATCTGATCAACCAGTATCAATAATTAAAATTAATTCCTTGCGAGTGGAGTGCAGCATAACTACAGGGGCATACATTAATGGTGAAAAAGTACATACAATTCACCAATTTTTTCCTGTTGTTCCACCAGGATATAAAATAGTAGAAGTACCAAATCACGTCATTTATCTGCCAGTCTCTGTCAAGACAATAGGTCATATTCAATTGCGAATTGTTGATCAAAACGGTCATTTGGTTAATTTTCGAGGAGAAACCATAACAATTAGATTACACATCAAGTCCCTTGGGTGATGGGTATTGTTTTTAATAACAAAAATAAGATTGGTTACGGTTATAAAACGAAAACGCAATGTCAAAAACAATTCAGTCAACGGAAAATTCTGAAGAGATTAACACCTCAAAATCTGCAGCTCCTGAAAAATCTGGGACTAAAGGTTGTAAAAAGAAGAGAACGAGTAAATTAAAGTTATTCTGTACGTGTGTATGTGTATTTATATATCGCACTATTATTATTTGCTATGGAAGAGGAAATATTAAGTATTGAAAAACCAATCATTTTCGATGAGTCTATTGCGCATTACGAAGTGCATGCGCAGCAACCATATACATCATCAACATATAATAATAGTGACGAAATTCGAATCACTGTCCAAAATCAAGACCATTGTCTACATCCAAGCAAAAGTTCGCTTCATATAAGTGGAAGACTTTTAAAAAATGATGGAACAGCTGTAGCAAACACTTCTATAATTTCCAATGGGATCTGTCATTTATTTGAAGAAATAAAATATGAACTTAATGGTGTAGAGATTGATAAAAATAAAAATGTAGGTCTTACAAGTTTAATGAAAAATTACGTTTCATTTGATGTTAGTCAAAGCAAATTTCTTGAAAATGTTGGTTGGTTGGAATTTAATAATGATAATAGCACATTGACTAATCCGCAAGGTTACTTTGATATTTGCGTACCATTAAATATGCTTTTCGGTTTTGCGGAAGATTATCAAAAAATTATTGTTAACGCTAAACATGAGCTAATTATTATAAGATCGAGAATTGACTCAAATGCAGTTTTTCAAGTTGCACCTGTTGAAGAATTCAATATAGTTATTGAAAAAATTGAATGGTTGTTGCCTTATATCAAATTGTCTGATGCTCGAAAATATAAATTATTAAAGTATATTGAAAAGGATCCATCTATTCCAATTAGTTTTAGAACTTGGGAATTATATGAGTATCCTTTACTACCGTTGACACAGAAGCATATCTGGAGTGTAAAAACTTCAACACAGTTAGAAAAACCTAGATTCATTGTATTAGGATTTCAGAAAAACAGGAAAAATAATACTCTATTAAATTCAAGTTACTTTGACCATTGTCAAATATCAGATGTAAAATTATTTTTAAATTCACAAAGTTATCCATATGGTAATATGAATCTTAATATTAATAGAAATCAATATTCTATGCTTTATGAAATGTATACGAATTTCCAAGCTGTATACTATGGCAAAGAATCTCAGCCACTTTTAACAAAAAAGGAATTTTTGCAATTTGCCCCCTTAGTTGTAATTGATTGTTCTAAACAAAATGAATCGTTAAAAAGTGGTCCAGTTGATATTCGTTTAGAAATTGAGTTAAGAGAAAACTTTCAAGGCAACACTTCAGCATATTGTTTAATTTTGCATGATCGCATCGTTGAGTATAAACCATTAAGTGGTATTGTAAAAAAGATTATATAATTTTGTTAAATTAAATAATTAATTAAAATTTTAAATAATTGTAATTTTAATTATTACTGTAATTTTATTATGAATAAAAAATAGAAGAAATTCTTTTATAATTTCAAATTAATTAATTTTTTAAATAATTGTAATTTTTAATTAAATTAAAAAAATTAATTACTTATATTAAAAATACTTGTTAAAATGAAAAGAAAGATCAAAAAGTACTCTTCATATGTAACTAATTCAATACTACGTTATGTGAATGAATTTAATCTGATGTTTACGTATTAAGTCGCACTCGGCCTTGTGTAAAATTTGTCGTAGGTCGTGTATACTTATAAGACATATATGTATATCACATACAATTAGTTTGCTTTATAATATCTTCTAATCATTTTTTATTATGATTTTATATTTAATTAGTAAGAAAAAATGTTATTATTATTTTATTAATAAAAACAGTAATTTTAATTATAATTGTACCTAAAATGAAGAAAAATAAAAAGATAAATAAAACTTGCAAGTTTTTAATTTTATTTTACACGGATATCCAAATTTTTTTTTATAAAGTTATTTTTATAACATATAATTTAATAAATTATTAATATGAATTATTATTTTTAAAATTTTTTTTAAAAATATAGTAAAGTAAGCATAAATTTTATTTAAAAAATAATTAAATTAATTTTTTAATTCGTTTTGTAATAATTAATGAAATAGTTTCTCAATAGGAAAAAAAGAAATATTTTAAATAAATTGCTTATTATTAAAACTGTACTCTATAAAAAATTATTTTTATTTATAATTAAACACACAGGAATAAAATATTTTTGTATTTTATTTTATTTTATATGTTCTTTACAAATATAAAAAATAAGTGTAAGAATTTTGTATAAGAATGTGTATAATGTGTATAAGAAAAAGAAGAAATAATAAGTAATATATAATTTTATACATATAATAGAGTGTAAAGTCCATTGACTTCTAAATATTATTTCATTTATTCTTTATTCTCCTTTTCTTCTTCTCCTCTCCCCTCTTCAGGCATACGTTGCTCACCTACGCCTTCTACTGTATCACCATCGCCAATGCCTTGAGCCCCCTTCCCTTCTCCCGCCTCTTCTACTTCCATCGGTTGCTCTCCTGTATTAGAAGCAGCTGGTTCTCTCTCGCCATCCTCCACAATATCAATGCCTTCGTCCTCCTCGCCTTCTTCTGTTGTTTTAACGTCCATAGGTTCCTCGCATTCGGACTCTGCATAATTATTTAAGCTGCTTTCTAGTTCCCAAATTAAATTATTATTTTCTTTTTCAGCTTGCGTGACATCTTGTTCTTCATATTCCGCTAAGTGACATTCTTCAATTTGAATTTCTAAATTATTACAATCAAAATCATTTAATCCATCGTCCAAATTTTGAGGTGAAAAATGAGCAGGAACTTCTAAATAAGGTTTTTTTTCTAAATGAAACGATGAAGGTCCTGTTTTTTTAACTTCAACTATTAAATTATTATAACGCAAGTAAACGTTATCATCATCCGTTTTATTACAAAAACAACCATAGTTATGGACAGCTATTGTTATCATTAGAGTGTCCCTTAATTTTGAAATATCAATGTCTTCCGTCATCCATTCTGAAGGAATGTCTACTGACATTTCAAAAGACGAGTAAAAGTCACCACTCTGTAAAAAAAAATATTATTTAATATTAAAATAGAATCAAAAATAATTATTTATATATTTTCAATTAATTTATTTAAAAAATGTTATAGTTGTAACTTTTTATTATTTAATTATTTAATTATTTTATTTTATTATTTATTTATTTTACTTTTTTAAATAACTTTACTTACTAATATATCTTCGACTGTAAATCCACGTCTCTTGATAAAATATCCCTGCGGTGTTTTTATAATTTCGGCTTTAATTCCTTTAAATAATAATGTCGTCTTTCCATCAGGAATTAAAGATCCGGTTATTATTTCTTTCGCTCGCATTGCTATTGGAATTATGCACAATTTCTTAAAAGTTTGATGATTTACACATGAATGAAGCCAAGCTGAAGGAGCAGTAATTCTAATTGATACCCTTGTGTACGCCATTTTTTTTATTTCTGTAAATTAATTATAACAAAAATTTTAAGCCTTAAATAAGCTTTAATTTTAAAAATTCATAATAAAAATTTTGAATATAAATGTTCTTTAAATGAATAATTCAAATAAACAAATTAAAAGTTAATTAAAAAATTAATAAAATCCAACAAATAAATTAAAAACTTCAGTTAAAATATTTAAAAATTTAATGAAAACCAATAAATATAAAGTTAATAAAATGAAATTGTTAAATCAATTGAAGTCAATTAAATAAAAAATTAAGAAACTTATATTTAAAAAATCAAATAAAAAAAATAATACATAAAATTTATTTAATTATGAAGAAATTTATTAAAATTTATGAAAGAATTAAATAGTTTATTAAAATTTTATTTAGTTATTAAATAATTTATTAAAATTTATTTATTGCTTTAATCATATTTATTTAGTACTTTTATTTATTAAATAATTTATTAAAACTTGTTAATTTGAGTATTATTACTTATTGACATTTATTTATTATTTTTGTAACATTTATTTATTAATTTAATAAATAAATTTAAAATAAAAATTTTAAAGGAGGTTTTAATTTGTAAAATAAAATTAATTATTAAATTAATGTATGAAAAATTCTGTTAAATAAAATAAATTTTACTGTTAAAATTAAATAATAAATTCAAATTAATTTGAAATTTTGCTTACAATTTGCGAAAAAGGCACTAGAAAAAATCACAAAAGCACAATATGTTTAGTTCACTCAACTTGAATGCACTTTATGTGATTTAATTTATGTGGTTGTCACTTGTATAATGAAGCTCCCTTGCATCAGCCTTCTTTTTATACCCAAGCCAAATTGTTTATAAAACTTGAGACAAAGATAAGCTGGTAAATTGAAACAAGAAGGTAGAGTGTGATATGATTCTCGCTTTGATGGGGTGTTTCTTTTTTATATTGAGAAACAAAGATAGCTGTATATCATGAATTTCTTTCTTTAAATTAAAATTTTTTAATGTTTTTTGAAACCCCAAGGTAGTGTATCTGTATTTTTAGGTAATAACAGTCTTTTATCATCATGCCAGCTTAAAACTTTTTTTTTTTGTTTCAGAGTATATACATCATGCTTTTTACTTTTTATTAAATGTTGTGTTTTTATCAAATTTTTGAAATTGAAAAGTGATTTTTTATAGTCTTGAATTGTAATTTTTTTTAGTGTTGAACGTTTGACCCCTTTTGCTTTTTTCTTTTCATTTTTTTCACCAAATACTTTATATGTATATAGTTTTGAGCGTAATCCTATAAATTCTGTTATAATTTTTCCATTGCATTCGTCTTTCATTAATCCCAATACTTTTTTGTTTGCTAATGGAATTCCATAAATATTATCTTGTGGGTAATCAGATGTATCAAAAAATTTTAAATCTCGTTTAATAAAATCATAAATATTTGGAACATTAATATGATAAATTAAGCTGTCCGTATCAGTGTAAAGTAATTTGGACTTTTCGCCAAATGTTCTCTTTATATAATTGTAGTGAAAATCATAAGTATATAATTTAGAAACATCTAAAATGCTAAATCCAACATAGATTGGTTTATTAAAATTAACGTGTAGTTTATTGAGCTCTATAATAACCAAGTTTTTATCAAATATATTGCAGCTATGAAAATTTGGTTTACCAATAAGTGCTTTAGCTCCATATCTACCCTCCCATTTTGTAACTATTTTAACATCTTTATGTTTTCTTACATTTTCCATTGTTTTTCCAAAAACTGAGTTATTCATTAACTTATAAAAATTTTTTTCAAATACATTAGTAGATTTCTTTCTCAATTCTGTATTCAAATCAATATACTGTCTCAACCATTGTGATTGCTTAAATTTTAATATTCTATGAATTTTTTTTAATTTCATTCCTAATCGTATATAATATTTAAGATTTTTGTAATGGATAACATATTTTTCTTTAGGATATAAATTAGTTATCAATTTTGGTAATTTGATGTCAGTATTTGGAGGCACAAAATGTTCTGGACATAAAGGCAAATCTTTGTGTAAATCATGCAAATTTTCCGGGTAATCTAGGTCTACTTCTAAAATATAACCATAAGCAGCATCATCCGCAATTTCAGATACATCAAAGTTTATTAAATTTGTTTCCCATTGAAAATCTGAAAGCGGTAGAAATTCACTCATTCCTGCACCGTATAAATTATTTACATCAAAGTACATAATATATGATTCTTCAAGATTTTTGTTAAAATCTGTTTCCATAAATCTGTTATTTGCTTTTGCATATCTGTTTGAACATTGAGAAACTCCACCCCTGATACCCTTTTCCAAAAAAAGCACCATATCTATATCAGTTAATAATTCTAATTCTATTTTTGTTAATTTGAGCATTGCATCAAATGCAAGCCCAGGTGCAGTATAATAATGTAAAGGGTCTAAATTATAAGCAGATAAACAAGTTTTTCGAAAATTTTCAAATATGTCAGCTAAAAGTAAGACATCTGTTTTTAAATACAAGTCTGAATAATCACCCAAACTTTTTAAATTAAAGGTGGTCCAAACTTTACAAGCATGTAGATAATCATCTTCTGAAATATATGAATCATTTAATTTAGAATAAAATGATTCTTTTTGTGGTAATTGATTTTCCTGTAATTTTTCCCAATTATTAATATATTCGTATGGGAAAACACCTTTTCTTGTTAATAAATTAAATTCATTAATATTGTTACAATATTTTTCTGTGATTTTCTTTTCATCATTTTTAAGAAAATTTGCCAATTTATCCAAACTACTGGGCATAAATCTGAAAGAATCTAAAAATCTAAAGCACACATTTTTTCCATCTACATATTTGGTAAAAGATATATATTTTTCTTTATTTATAGGTAAAAGCTTAACACAACCTTCGAAACTCGTACATAATTCTTTTATAAAAAAATGAGCATCATACCCTGATAAATTGTGAAAAATTACTGGAATTACATGCGAACTTTTGTAATTTATATTACATCCCTGATGGGCAGCACCCCTGTATTTTCCTGTGAAATGATTGTGATCTCGACATCTAATATCATTAATTTCAAATGATTTTTCGCAAATGTAACAATTTTCCGAAGTATGAAATTCTAATTCTTGTTGAAAAGTTAAAGGTTCCATTGGAACTATTTTTTTTAGATAAAAGTCAACAGAATTTGCGATATCTTTCAATTTATTTATAAACCAGGTAATGCAATCCTTTCCTCTGTAACTTTCAAATATTGAAATTGTGTCATCAAACTCACATTTTAAATAGAATGCAACACTGTGTGAAACATGTTTATTATATGCACCTGAAACTATTTTATTATCATTAATAGGTTCTAAAATGCTTTCAGTGTCAGCATACACAACAAATGGAACTTTTTCTTTAAATCTAAAATTTTTAAATTTTAAAATGTTGTCGTTTTCATTTGGTAAAATTACTCTACATGTGTTTAATTTGGTACAATCAAATTTATGCTTTTCTAGTGAATATTCATATTTAAAATGACATAAGCATCTATCACAAATCCAAATTTGACATTTACTTTTTGTCATTTGTGATTTAACCAACCGTGACAAGTTACGAATCCATGCAAAATGATAAAAATTTGTCCCATTTTCATCACTATTATCAAAAACAGCATCTAAATTATTAATCATCAATAAGTGAATAGTCGGTTTTTCAGAAAACTGTTTACTTATATATAAAGGAACTATTTCTTGTTTGTTGCTTTTAATACTATCCAATCCATAAATGTTTATTCTTAAACTATTCATTTTTTCAAATTTTGGTATATCTGACAAAGCAATAGGAAAATTAATGCCTTCGTATTTTAATAAACCTTTAAAATCAGGATAAGAACTGGTAAGGTTTGAATTATTGTCAACAGGATATAAAGCTGATATTATTGACCAAAGAAAGCAAAAATTATCTCTATTTTTAATATTAACAACAGCTTTCTTATTTCTTATAAATTTTGGTAATTCTGTAAAAGTACTGAATCCACCTTGTAAAGGTGCATATCTGTTAATATTTACTATTAAATTTATAATTTCTTTCAAAGACCACCCTGATTCTTTTGCATTAAAATCTTCAACTTTTTGTGAAATATATTCAATTGTATTATCAAAGAACAATTCAATGTCTGAAGAATGAAGAATAATTTCATTTTTTGTGTTAAAAAATTTTTTTTCTTCAATAATTTCACCATCGCTCGCGGTTGTAAAATTAGCTGTAAATATAAAATTTACTTTCAAGCCATTGTTTTTCTTCAATGCATTTTTTAAACGATATTTAATTAAAGATCGTGAATCCTCTAAAAATTCAAATAAATCTTTATGTTTTAAATTAATAATAACTCCCGTTCTCACTCTTTTTTCAAACGCTGATTCTAAGTCTTCCCATTTAATTCTGGTAGATTTCTTATTTTTATTTATTTCAATACCTTTACCTTCTTTTTTTGTTTGCTTTAATTTTTGATTTAATGTTTTCAAAATTCCTAGAGTGGCTATTATCTTATTTTTATCACCTACTGTTAGGTCCTTCTTTACTCTTAAAAGTTTATTTAAAACAAGAATATTTTGTGAACCCAGTTTTATCCACTTTTCAATTTCATTTAAAAATTTGTTATTATTTTGAATTGTATTTACAGTCTCCAGAGCACTTTCCATAATTTTAATCATTTTTTGGCAATTAGAATTCATCTTTTTTAAATAAAACAAGAGACACTTGTAACTATTAACAACCACTTTTTAAATGGTAATTTATACAATCTCATACAGAGCTTCGATGAAAAATGACTGCAAAGAACAATAAACAATTTCTTTTTATACTGCCCTTCACGTTGCTGATAAAAAAATAGTTGCCTGGAAAAATTTATTGTTAAAAATATATATATCACATACCTTTCTTTGCATCAATAAATTCCATTACCGTCTTCAAATTTTACACCGCACATAACGCCACGCGGCATTT